AGCCATGCGCACAATTCTCTTTTGAAATGAGATCGTGCCCCACGTAGTGCTTCCAAAGTTCTGCCCTTGTGCCAGTCAAAACTAAGCTTAGTAAAGATTCTGGACACCTTGTTGTGCAAGTAATATCAGTCAGCAATACCATCTCGTTTCCCGTAAAGAGACTGATCCTCACTGAGTGCTTCATTATTTTAGCCTTGAGCCAGACTAAAGAAAGATCGCCGAGCATAGCTAGCTTAATGGTTCGTCACTCAAGTCAATTCGCTAATTTTTAAGATTTGATATTCGTTCTCATCTGTTCGGCCTTATGCCAGACACGGGCACATTTAAGAAATAGGAACAAACGCAAATAAACAAATGCGAAAATAATGTAAAATAAGCTTTCGGGTTTTCAATAATAATAATAATAATAATAATAATAATAATAATGATAAACTTTTATTAGATGTGTGCAAAAATTCCCAGCACTCTTTTCTTTTTCTTTTTTTTTTTTTTTTTGAAAACTATAAAGCTGAAACCGGGTTTTTTTTTTATTGATTTGGTCACTAATAAGTTAATATTTGAAATTTTCAAATTTTCTGTTTATTGAATATGACGTATTTAATTTCTTTCATTTTTTTTCTTTATAAACATTCTTATGGAACGTTAAAAAAAATACATTCTTACTTATTGACCATTTATTTGGTCACCCTACCCTCATCTGACTGAGAACGCCGAAGACATGAAGCATTTCTATAATAATAATTATCATAAGTAATTTGACAGCGTTGCATGTGCCTGGTAAACCTACATAAGACTGGGGGGATATTGGACTTCATATATCTATACTCCACCTAATTTGTTGGCGATCTACTCTCCCGCTTATTTAATAATAATAATAATAATAATAATAATAATAATAATGATAATAATAATAATAATCTACTGACTGCAATGTATCTTTGAAGATATTCAAAAAGCTGTCAAAATACAAGGACCTTGAAATAGAAATCTAAAAAATGTGGTATATGGGAATATCAACAATCCCTGTTGTAGTTGGAGCCCTAGGACTGGTTGGAAAAGATTGCAGTAGACTAATTGAAGGGATTCCTGGAAGTTTATGCCTCAAGGAGATGCAAAAAAATTGTTCTGGCAAGTACAGCTCACACTTTACGAAGGGCTTTATCTATGTAATATATTTTTTTTGTCAGTGGAAAGTGTCATGATGCCATTTCTAACCTTAGGTCCCTGGACGTGACCCGGAAAGAAATGTGTAAACGCCAGAAATCAAAGAAAATAAATAATAATAATAATAATAATAATAATAATAATAATAAAAATAATAATCATCTTTTGCCAGTACCGCAAATTGCAGCGTAAAAGTCGACCTCAAGATCTTTAGTTAAAAATCCTGAGTTAGGGCTATACCTAGCTTATAGGTTGACCCCCTAGATATACATTAGGCTACCAGTGGCGCAAAACTCAGACCTATCGGTAAATGAATTTAGGCTACAATATGCCAAAAAAAGATCACACCACTTACCAGTATATTAAGACACTAAGAGTAATATCTTTCTATATACGCTGTATAGTAAACAACCTACAGCTGACACATTTAAAATTCGCCAGGTCAACTGATAAACACGTTAAAAGTCAATATTAACTCCTATAAAATATTAATACCGTAGATTACACATCATACCAGGTCGTTTTTTGATATAACGTATCGTAAATTATTGTAAATAACAGTATCAACCATCCGCCATTTGCATCAACTGTTGGACGCGATGTGTGCTGTAGCGTTAATAAAATATAGAATTAGTGTTACTATTTTATTATGCCAAATATTTTCCCAAAATTACAAATTTTAGTGGGATATATTTGCAGCTCCCTGCTGCAGATACGGTAAGTGGTGTACAGTGATTGTTAGGAGTGCAGTCCAGTTGTTTACAGCTTGACAGTCAAGGTTTTTGTATTTTATACGCGCCATAATTAGCCGGGCCCTATATTTGAAAATATTTTTTTCGTATAAAAACTCTACTTGTACACCGAAATTTACGGTAATTTATATTAGGATTATTAAGATTTCGAGAATTGTACTAAGTATCGAAGAAAATAAAAGGAGTATTGACTCACTCGACGACAATATATATTATCATTTTTCTGTTCAAACATTTTGTAAGCATTTCTTTTGAAGTTCATCTTTGAAAAGAGTCGCCGTTGTTAAGCTTTTAATGTTCTTTGTAATGAATGTCATGCTTTGAGTTTAGAAGCTACGATTTGGTATCTTTTGAACTTTAATTTTGAAACTTCAGACAGATTATTTTTTTTGTTTTTGTTGTTAAACGCAAAAGAATTTTATACGTTAAATATTCTTTTTCTTTTCTTTTTCTTTCTTTATGATATCTTATACTATATGCCTATTTAATCGCACATTAAAAAAAAGTCATCCTAGAATGTAAAAAAACAAAACAAAACAGTCTCTCAAATATCAGGCAGTAGCAGTTGTTGAAAAAGAATAAAAATAAACGTGCGTTATTCAAATTTAAATGCTTTTTTTGCTTACTTTTCACATGTTATTCAATTCAAGATGGAGGCGGGAGAATGCGAAAAAGAAAAAAAAATCGAAAAAGAGTTTCATTTTATTTTATTTTTTAAAGAATCCTTTAAATATGTTCTGCTTTGAGTTGTCTGTCTCGTTGTCCTGCTAGATATATAATCTATCACTTTCATTTTCTGTTATGAGTTTGCTTCCTTGTGTCAAACTTGAAGTTTAAAATGTGTTACGTCATGAAGACACGTGATTATACAAAGACTATACTAAAAAAAAACCAAAAAAACAGTCCATGTTCGAAAGAGTCTGCCGTGGCGATATAAATTGTCAGCATTTGTTGTTTTTTTTTCCCAGCTTATAGCATTAAGGGCATTGAAATCTATTTATTATAGAAATAAACTAAGCCTTGTAAGAATATTAGAAAACTGTCCCGGTTGTGGGGTATGTATCGATGATGCAACCTATCAGGATTCATTTTTTTTCAGCTTTGAAGTTTTAGTGATTTGGTTATTGAAAACAACCCTATAAGAAAAAAGAGAAAAAAAATGTCTCCATAAGAGGGTTCTCTCCCGCTGAATATAACCTAACATGATTCGTATTTTATTCGAGTCTTAAGGTATGTTTCGTTATAAAAACCCTTTATTAAAAATAAACTTAACCTATAATTAAAAAAATGGAAACTATTCCAATATGAGTCGAGTTAATTATGATAAACCTACTTTTAAGAGTGTTATTTTTTTTATATAATCCTTAAGTTATTTGTTAATAAATGTGGATCAAATAGAGTTCTACTATGGATCACGATCCGACAGAATGAGAGAATGAAGAACAAATAGTAAACATTTTTAAATTTAACATGTTTCGATTTTATTAAAGCTTCATCAGATAATAAGATATGGAAGAGAAAAAGCAAGCAAGAAAAATTTCTGGTATTTTTAATTTGTTTTTTTTTTTTTTTTTTGCTTGGTTAAGAAGACATCTGTCTTGTCACGTAGTGTTAGTGTGTATGTAATTTGTGTGTGGTAAATGTGCAGGGTGGTCTGAAAGTCTTGTCACCCCTACATAGCATAATTTTTTTTTTTTTTTCAGATGGCTGACACGAAAATGATGGCGTTCGTACCGACCTTCTCTATGTGTGACAGCGTAAATGAAAGTGAATAAATTGCGTCCAGTACATTTGCTTTGTTTTACTGTATTACTTGTTCTCGTTACTTTTTGGTAGGGGTGACAAGACTTTCGGACCACCCTGTATTATAATTCTAGTTTGACTATGCAGGATTCGGATGATAATGTATATTCATTTGTGTGTGTGTGTGTGTGCGTGTGTTTGTGTGTGTGTGTATTAGTAGCCAATTTTTATTTATGTTTGGTGGTTGTCCGCATGTTGATTTGGGGACATTTTGTTTGAGGTTAGAAACTTGTACGTATCATCGTTTGTAGTTGTAGGCAAACATAGCTTAGATTCTTTAAGTATGCGTTATATAAAAGTGGGTGTGCTTAATAAAAGCGAGACATGTTAGATTTATAAACGTTTCCTATTTATTCCGTAGTTGTTGATATAAAAAAAAAAACGTTTTCCTTCTCTGTGTATTTGGAAGAGGAGCGTTATGAATAATCAAGAGTGGTTTCCCCTTGTTTTGCTACTCTCCTCTTTCAGAGAGCTATTTCTGTTTACTGGGACTATAAAAGGACACTATACGCAAACCTTGTATTCTCAGTTGAATAAAGTTTTCTCAAAGCCTACACATGCGTAATTTTGTCATTACAAGGCGTATTGGATATTTTATAGTTTCCAGAGGCAAAATGAGCTCTATTTTGAAGAAAAACTTGCTTCAGCTTCAATTTTACTGTTATCACTTTTTTTTTCACTGTTTAAACGACCTAAAGATATCAACTTTGCAGTTAGAATTTGAAGATGTCGTCGTGTTCTTTCATTTCATCTTTTTTTCATTCCTTTGTTTTTATTTCTCTAAGAATATGCTGTCAGCTAAAGAACTGGTAAGAACCGTTTAAAATAAGCAGTAATTTCGAACTTAAAATACCCAAATAAATTAAAACGCGGATTTTGTTGCATTTTTTATCAAGATGCATTGATAAATATAATTACCAACATATATTAACATTGTGACAATCGCTTATTTTCATTATAAGTTATAAAATTATTACTTAACAACAAAAAAATGCTATGGTTACTGCTTGGTAAAATAGCATTCTTCCCGTTGATTTGACGACAACGCGAGAGATCGTTTGTTAAGCAAGTTGTCACGAAATAAATTTTACTTAAATATTTATCACTCGATAACATCGGCTACAGTCGAGTATATTCATCAGTCTGATAATTGTATTGGGTTTTTATTTCTTTTGTTTTTTTTTCCTTTGTTTTAATCAATTTTAATCATTCTTGAAAAAAAGAAAGAAAAAAAAAAGATGGAGATTAAAGGGAGGTAATCCACATCCACAGGAATGTCGATCATAGATTCAGCATGTTGTTGACACTGACCATGAGTAGAATGATAACGAGGCTCGTGGTAATCCCATGACATGGCGTCATACCGGACGGCGCGGCTGTGTTACAGCCGTCCGTGTCACAGCTTGTGTAACAGAATTTGACAGTATTGCCGTCCTCTTTGACTGTGTTACAGTTGTCTGTCATCGGAAAAAGGCTACACGCACGCGTAAAGCTTGTTTTGCTATCTGCAAAGAGAAGAAGAAAAAAGAAAACGAATATAAAGTCTTCTGAATAGATTTCTTTTTTGGTTCGCCCAATACAAAGCTCAAGATTCAGTCAAGAAAAAGGGGTTACAGAATGTAATGTGATATAGACATGAGAGGAAAAGTAGGGAGAGAAAGGATAGATAGTGGTTGCTATAAATCCCGCACCCCAGCAAACGAGAGCGAGAGAGAGAGAGAGAGAGAGAGAGAGAGAGAGAGAGAGAATATATTTTTTTAACGGCATATCAACTCTTTATGGGTCATTTAACACCGAATTGTAATTTTCATGGGAGCTTTGAAGCAATAAAAATATGATATATGTTATTCTGCTTTTTATAACACTTGAGTACATGGTAGATAATACTTGAATTACTTTATTCTCGTGCCAACAAAAAAATAGCCTTGCGCCTGGCCACTCAGCTGTTTATATAACACTGGAGGAAGTAACATATCCTCCAGTGTCGGCCTGTGGAAGTACCCCATTATCTAATGAGACCTTCCATTTCTACTTGACAATACTCAGTTTTTGTACAGTTCCAAAAGTTTGTTTGATTATAATTCTTAGAGGTACAGATATGTAAATTTTATGCCATAATTTTGGAATACAATTTGATTTCTTTAAGAAATTGTAGGATATTATATGGATTAATGTCATGAAAGAGATCTTATATGTTGGTTGCTTTTCTTTAACCTCATATCAAATTCTATGCATTATTTAATCCTGAAATCTAAATATTTGGAACAGGATTTTATGGATTCAACTTAATATATTGTGGACGCAATTCTATGCCTTCAACTACAGATAAAATGTATTGTTTGTCATTTTATTATAAATATGTGTTGGTAATTTTACTCTAAATATGCATTGTTGGCAATTTTAATATAAATATTTATTTTTGATAATTGTTTTTATGTAAAAGTATTGCTGGTATCTTTTACTAAAACAATGTATTTTTATACTTTTATGGTCTTTTGTTTTTTGTTTGGAGGTTCGCATATTTGCGCATATCTGGGACCCTAACAGTTGCTACCATTTTGTGTCAGTATGAACATGGGAACAACAGTAATTAAAAGTTGATTCCACGCTCCTCAAAACTTTCAATCTGCCGATCAGAGGTTTTGCTGCCGGGTGTAGTTTATCGTCATACTCAAGACCGAGGGAGAGAGAGATACAGATAGATAGATAGTTGATAGATAGATAGATAGACAGATAGATAGATAGATAGATAGATAGAGAGAGAGAGAGAGAGATATATATATAGAGAGAGAGCAAGTATGATATTTGAAACCCATAATGAAAGAAAAACAAAATGCGATAAAAAAAGACAATTTTAATCATACAATAAGTAAAATTTAAATTATTTCTCAACAAATATGCCTCTTTTTCAGTTATTCCTTTTTTAAAAAACTGACGTGTTTCTGTCATTCTGTTATATACTGCATTTTTGATATGCCCTCACTCTGAAAAAAAAAGGATTTTATTTTGCAAGGTGCATTTATAAACAGAAGTAAAATGGAGAAAAAATTTTAAAATTGAAGAACGCTCTTAAATATTCTAAAATCTGAGTAAATCAAGAGGGCGCAAAGAAATGTCATTTAATGCCAAATAAAAGAGCGTGAATAAATGCCGATATTGTTGTTTCTTTTTAATATATATATATATATATATATATATATATATATATATATATATATATAAACTTCACAGGACTACGTAAAATTACCTTGCGGTGCTTCTGACAGCGCCAAAAATGGGAAAAAAACACGATTGTTTTTGCACGAAATCAATTTGAAAAAAAGATTCTGTCGCCAGAATGAAAGGGGGACAACTCATATCGAGTTATACTTATTATAAAACCCAGGTTGTTTGTGTGTGTCTGTAGTTTATATATGGGATCGGATTTCCCACATTTTTCAATTGATTTCAACAAAACTTCACTTTTTTTTTTGGCAGGTAGTGTTTCTTATTGTCTTGCACACTTTTTTCTTTATTTTTACATTTAGAATGCATTTAAATTCCATTTACAAGACAATTGTTTATAATAAAATTCTATTCAATCGATAGACTCATAACGATTGAAAACAATGTTTTTGTTTGAGTTTGGGTTTGACCAATTCGTAAAAAAAAAACCCCAAAATACAAAACAACAACAAAAAAAAAACTAATTAAGACATGCGTGTCCGTCAACCTTAAACAATAATCTTTGTCGATTTTATTTTTCAGTCTTTATGATGGTCGATATTTGATCTATCTCTTACTGTTACATCCCGGGCAACGCCGGGCTCCACTGCTAGTATATATATATATATATATATATATATATATATATATATATATATATATATATGGTTAGGTTAATGAAATAACTAGACATTAGCGACCGTATACGCGCGTGCTGGTGTGCATACGTTGGTAAGCAAATAAATATTTACTAAATTAAGCCAAGACACATAATAGTTTTCAATGTGATTAGACAGGGTTAAACAATATATATTAATAAATACACATATACCTACGTTTGGTGTGCGACTAAAGTTTCCTTGGTTATCCAACTATCTTGTGTCCGACGAGTTGGGTGTCTAACGAAAAATTGTTCGCATACCAAAATAGTATATATATATATATATATATATATATATATATATATATATATATATATATATAAATAAATAAAAGAAAGAACAGCAAGATATATAATCCGGTGTTCTTATAGATATTTTATTCTTACAAAAAGTAGTGCTCAATGTAAATTTACAGAGCATTACTATTATAAATTAATAGATTTAGCGATGAAATGGAACTAATGTCTTTGATTTAATAACAAAAATTAAATTCGTGGCTTTTAGCTTCCATTTTTGAAACATGGTTAGAACTGTGTAGTGAAAAAAAACCATATTTTAAATCAATTAATTTATAATATATATATATATATATATATATATATATATATATATATATATATATATATATATATAATATATATATATATATATATATATATATATATATATTTATATGTATGTATTTAATTTTTATTATTTCATTTTGATTTGATAAATTATTTATGTACTTATTTATTTTGGACAATAAGTCTTGATTTAACAGCTATTTTAAAATTTTTTAACATTTTTATTTTCTATGTATGTTGACTTGGAAAAGAAGTATTTCTTCTAAGAGAGGAGATATTTGAAAAAAAAAAAACATCCAGGACGTAAGTTAATAATTTGGCCAAGAATCGATAATTGCATTCTCAAGGGTAATATCAGAAAACCTCGTTTTTTTAAATCAGAAATCAATCTTCCGAATTATAGATTTAATAATCCCTCTCCCAAAACTTTCTGATTTTAATATTATTTCAATTCAATATGGTTCGCAATCGCATCTATTATTCACGTTTCCACTGCATGTTCACACGAAACTGAAGATGAAATCAACAGCAACAGATGAAGACGCAAATTCGGTTCTGATTAAGGTGCTATTTATTTCAATGAGGTTCGCAGTCGCATCTATTATTCTTTCTGCTATCAAGTTAGTGGTTGCACAGGCCCCATCGAGTCCTGCTTCTTACTTCAAACAAACAACTGCTAACCGACGCGACAGGTTAGACAGACGGCTCCTCTCCCTCTCTCTGCCCAGCTCTAACCGTGACTACTTACAAATGGCTGCAAGCGGAAATATCTGACCTAAAGAAGGCCGGAGCGTACAACGGCTGAAACTCGTGAATATGGCAATAACAATCTGGATAACAGCCCGAAAAAAATGTAAATAAAGTAAATAGTTACAATACCTCATCTCAGTAATATAGACTGATTTTGAAGAGAAAGTAAGTTACATAATAGGAAATTTCTTGAGAGTGCAATTATTGATTCTTGCCAAAATATTAACTTATGCTCTTAATAGGCGATTAAACTCATTTTTTTTTTTACTTTGTATACACATAGTTTAGTTAATGCGAAATTTGGATTAAGGACAAACAGAACAGAAGGGGCAACAGGGAATCTCCTTGAAAGATTCCTCGTCGGATATTCAAATAACTGGAAGTGACAGTACCTTTGGTGGGATTTAAGTATAATGGGGTTTTCCACAGTTCCCTGATATATTTAAGGAAATTTACTATCAAAGAGAAGACTTTCTACATTTGCAAAGCCTTAAGGAACCAAGGGTGTGGCACATTATCAAAGACATTACGGTAATCTATCCAAGATGAGCTGAGATTCCTACATATTTTCCTGCAATTTTTCAGAATCATTTTATTTATTAATAGTTGATTTTTGTAACCATATGAACCTCTTCGACATTCCTTCTGTTCCTGGGAAAAAAAAAATTTTCATCAGCAAAAGAGTAAGTACAGTTCATCAGGACACACGTTATCAATATATATGTGGTAAACAGACATGTTATAGGCCTATAAATTTTGGGATCATCTGTTTCATTCGTTTTTGGTAAGAGTTATGTAATAGCTTCAGTGATCCATTCTGGAATTTCATTGGGACTATTAATAGGTCATTAAACACTTTCTTTTTTACTTTGTATCCATAATTATAAATGTATAGTTTATGCGAAAGGGAGATTAAAGACAGACTAAACAGAAGGGGCGACAGGGAATCTCCATGAAAGATTCCTCGTCGGATATTCAAACAACTGGATGTGACAGTACCTTTGGTGTGGTTTAAGTGGTTCTCTACAGTTCCAAGGTATATTAAGGAAATTTACTATCAAAGAGAAGACTTTCTACATTTGTATAGCCAAGAAGGAACCAAGAATGTGGAGCATTATCAAAGACTTTACGGTAATCTATCCAAGATGGGCTGAGATTTGTACCTTTTTTCCTGCACTTTTTCAAGATAATTTTCTTTTATTTATTAAGGAATTGATCTTTGCAAACATATGAACTTCTTCGATATCCCTTCTGTTCCAGAGGAAGACTGTTCTTTGCTCGAGAGTAAGAAGAGTTCCTCAAGACAAACTTGATCAATTTATATTTGGTGGATATATATGTTATTGACCTAGAGTTTTTTTTTTTTTATCATCCGTTTTTTTTATGGGAGATATGTAATACCTTTACTAATACTTTCTGGAATTTCATTGGAGTTATTAATTAGGATAGTTTGCGCAAGGGCTTTACTGATTGATGACAGATGATAGAGCCAAAAACTGGATACCTTTTCATTTCCTGGGGACTTCTATTTTGGAGATTTTTTTAGAGTTTACCTAACATTATTCTTGATCATATTTTTTCCATTCTTGCACAGGTTTGTCCTTCATTCTTTCTTGTTCTTATTTGATTCGCTCTGCATTGGGATTATATTTGGGTGGCTCCAAATATTCTCCCAAACATTTTGCACTTATTCAATAGACGGTTGTCTTTTTGACTTCTATAACTGTTTTTCCAATTTCCCTGTAAAACGTCTAGTGGTTCATTTGGAACATCTGATTTTGTAGATAGAACCTACAACGCTTTTCACATCGTCTTTTTTCTTCTCTGTGCCATTAATTGCAGTTTCTGATTAGTCGAATTTCATTTACTGCTTTAATTTTATATTTCTACTTGATCTTGCTTTTCAATGTTGAAAAATTTCAATTTCTTGAAATCTCATCTAGTTTCGATAACTCACATCTGATTTCCTCACTTTTATAAATTTGAAATTAGCTTTTTTTTTGTCTGTTGATTAAGCTTTCTTTTATTATTTTATTATTATTATTATTATTATTATTATTATTATTATTATCTCAAAATTGCTTCAATGCAAACCAAACCTAAGAATAAACCCAATGGAGAACATGAACGCATGGGCGCCATTTTGAACTAAATTCAAGCGATCTCTTACTAACAACAGCCCGAAGCAATATCCGGCAGGGTCGAGCAATTGATTTTCTTCTCTCTTATTCGGTCGGGCTGGAAACATGGTGTGTTGAGCGAAGTTGTTTTAAGTTATGACGACAGGAAATGGAAGCATCACATACGTCATATTGCTCAAGGTTGAAATCCAAAACCGCGTCGGAAGTGACGGGAAACGGTCAGTACGATGAGAATCAAGAAGCAGAAGAGACAGAAGAAACTGCCAAAGGAACTTGACACTTGACCTTGCTGACTTCATTTACATTTTTCTTTCTTTCTTTCTTTCTTTCTTTCTTTCTTTCTTTTAGTCTCTCTTTCTTCCTTTCCTTTTCTTTCTTTTATTCATTCTTCTCCCTTTCTTTCTTTTTTCTATTTTCCCTCCTTTATATCTTTTATTCTCTCTTTTTGTTCTTTCTTTCTTTTATTTCCACTTCCTTATTCTTTTCTTTTAGTCTCTCTTCTCTCATTTCATACTTTTCTTTTTTCTTTTATTCACTTACTCTCCTTTTCTTCTTTTATTCTCTCCCTCTATTTCTTTCTTTCTTTCTTTCTTTCTTTCTTTTTATTTTTCTTGCTTTTATTCACCTCTTCCCTTCATTCTTTCTTTCTTTTACTTTTCCTGTTTGTTTGTCATATTCTTTCTTCAATTCTTTTTCTTTCTATTTTGCAACCTTTATTTTAGTCTATTTTCTTTCTTTCTCTCTTTATTTTTATCTTTCTTTCTTTCTTTCTTTCTTTCTTTCTTTCTTTCTTTCTTTCTTTCTCTCTTTCTTTCTTTCTTTCTCTCTTTCTCTCTTTCTCTCTTTCTTTCTTTCTCTCTTTCTTTCTTTCTTTCTTTCTTTCTTTCCTTCCTTCCTTCTTTCTTTCTTTCTTGCTTTCTTCAGTCATTTCTTTTTTACTTTTCTTGCTTTTATTCACCTCTTCCCTTCTTTCTTTCTTTCTTTTTTCTTTCTTTCTTTCTTTCTTTCTTTCTTAACTTTTTCTTTTTACTTGTAATTCGAGCCCCTTCTTTCTTTCTTTCTTTCTTTCTTTCTTTCTTTCTTTCTTTCTTCAGTCATTTCTTTTTTACTTTTCTTGCTTTTATTCACCTCTTCCCTTCTTTCTTTTTTTCTTTCTTTCTTTCTTTCTTCACTTTTTCTTTCTACTTGTAATTCGAGCCCCTTCTTTCTTTCTTTCTTTCTTTCTTTCTTTCTTTCTTTCTTTCTTTCTTTCTTTCTTTGCTTTTTTATTTGCTTTCTGTTTCATTTATTTTCCATTTATTTTCTTTTTTCTACAGTTCATTTTTTCTCCCCTTTCTTTTCCATTTTAGACCTTATACACCCCCGCCATTAATTTTAGTTACTTTTCTTTCATCTGTAAAGTTTTTCTTCTTATTATTATTATTATGCCAGAAATCGCTTCAAACATATTTTCTGCTTTTCCATTTTACTTTCTTTTCTGTCCCTCGTTTCCTTCCCGCCCGTCTCTTCCTCACCTAACCATTACGAAAATATATAAACTTCAAAATGAACAACAATAAAAGAGAACTCACGCCAATACGCAGTTAACGTCTAGCGCCACCATTCAACTGGGCAAAGCTTTCGCCATTGCGCCTTCCAAAGTTAACATTAGACGACGTGCGAAAAACCCAGAATAAACACCGGGGAAAACGGACAGAGGGAAAAACAGAAATGAACTTGTCTGCGCCCCGATCTTCTCAGCTGTTGACTGTTCATGATACGATTTGCCAGTAACAATTCTAAACCAGTAAGCATTCGCAGGCACTCTATGACGTCATCTAACTCAATAAAATGAGGGGTTTTTAAGAACATTTCTGTAGGCTGCTTTGCTTGCTTATCTATCTATCTATCTATCTATCTATCTATCTATCTATCTATCTATCTATCCCAATATTTTCATTATCTATCTATATTTCTATCTATCTATCCCAATATTTTCACTATCTATCTATCTATCTATCTATCTATCTATCTATCTATCCCAATATTTCTTATCTATCTATCTTTCTATCTATCCCAATATTTTCATGTCTATCATTTATCTATCTATCTATCTATCTATCTATCTATCTATCTATCCCAATATTTTCTATCCATCAATCTATTTTCTATCTATTCATCTATCTATCTATCTATCTATCTATCTATCTATATATTTCACATCTATCATATCTATCTATCCCAATATTTTCACTATCTATCTATCTATCTATCTATCTATCTCTATCTATCTATCTATCTATCTATCTATCCCAATATTTTCACTATCTATCTATCTATCTATCTATCTATCTATCTATCTATCTATCTATCTATCTATCTATCTATCTATATTTTCATATCTTTATCTATCTATCTCAATATTTTCATTATCTATCTATCTATCTATCTATCTATCTATCTATCTATCTATCTATCTATCTATCTGTATATGTGTGTGTGTGTGTGTGTTTTGATAAAAACATAGTTTTATGGTAATGGTATTGTATGATATGGGTAAAAGTGGTCAATATCAAGAATAAAATGTGTGTAAATATAAGAGTGGATTATCAAATTGGTTGACAAATTGAAAGAAAAAATATCAATGCACCGAGTCTCGTCTTCTAAAAAAAAAACGACGTCAACAGATCGAAGTAATGTCCTTATTGATTGATGTACATTTTTTAATCTTCTCACCCCATGCAAGGAAATAAAGTCAATAAGACGCAAGGGGGGGGACGTTTACTCCGTGTGACTGAATATGAGATACTGAGTATATTATTTAGGACAGAGAACAATAAAAGAATAAGAATTAAGAAGACAGAAGATAACGATAGATGTTTAAATTTTTGAAGATCAAGCTTGACTAGAATGCAAGAAGCCAGAAGAGAGTTTCACATTTGAGAAGTGCGAGAGAAGAAACTTTTAGAATTTATGGTCACACCTAGCAATTTCAAATTGAAAAATGATGAGACCTCTCCGCCAAACTTGCACTACGCTTAAATATATAAAGTCTCTGTACCAAAGAGAAATCTTTATTTTCAATAATACAAAAGTGTGGCACAAGGCCAATAGAAGGGATAAAGGGAACGCTTGTCTTTAATCTGTCTTATCTTAAACTTAGCTAGACACGATTACTAACCCAGATATACTACAGTATTCCTTACACCAAAACAACCAATTCTTACTTACCAAAGAGGAAAGCTCATCAGAACAATTACCATGGAAATAATTACAGTGTAACCCGGATATAAGAGAAACCCGGATATAAGAGAGATTTTCTCTGGTCCCAAATAAGAGCCTGTGTTAATGTATATAAAATCGACCAAACCCCGATATAAGAGACTTCTTCTCCGGTCCCGACAACTTTCTTATATCCGGGTTACACTGTATATAAAAGGCATATTGAAGCTACGTTATGGTGGTCGGAAAGTGACTGAAGCCGAGATGCTAGGTCAGGACGAATAAGATTGCAGATTTTTTTTTTTTTTTTTGTATTTTATCAAGAATCTCTAAATCCATAGCACAAGTTCAATACAATATGTGACAGCAATATTCAATGCATGGGCGAATGCTAGACTTATAAATGGTTTTGTCAAGAAGATTGTGTAGCAGCATACAATGAACTATATTTATATAAAGAGACAGAGACAGGAGGGGGATATAAACTTAAACCTCGGTTATAATTAATGGGGAAACGCTGAAGATATAGGAAGGTCACATTTTAATTTTAAAAAATTCTTCGAGACGTACACCTCAGCCGATCTCCTAACACTTTTCCCTTTTGTTTTCATTGCTTTTGTTTTTTTTCCGGAAAAGATTTCTTACGCAATGTAAAAATGTTGAAAGAACCCAGACAGAAATTTTTACCGTGGAAGATTCAGAAATCAGGGAAATCAGAATGTTTAAATATATATATACATATATATATATATATATATATATATATATATATATATATATATATATATATATATATATATATAATTAATCAGAACAATTTGTATGTGTCATCATTGAATAAAATTCCTTCCTGTTTACCTTTAATATTACAGAACTATGGCGTAAGACTACATACAAGGGCTGATAGTTTATTATCTTTTCTTAGATAAAGATTAGACTATAGAAGTTACAACTTCATATATAACAAAGTTTCCCTGTTTACATCTTTATATATAAAACTGTAGCCTCTGTTTGTCTGTTACCGAACTCCTCCCTAAATATATATATTGTGAAACTACATTACCAGGGTACTTGGATAAGTATATTTCATTTTGATCAAAGGGGCTTCACCAAAAAGCACAAACCCCCTACTGAAAATTTTTTTCCTTTTGATTTAAATTAAATTTAAATTTGAACAAAGGAATGACTCCTAGAGTACTTGGATAAGTATATTTCATTTTGATCAAAGGGGGTCCCGGATGTTGAAGTGAGGCACGCCCCAACAACTGAATGTTTTCCCTTTGATATGAATTAAATTTAAATTTGAACAAGGGAATGACTTCTAGAGTACGTGGATAAGTATATTTCATTTTGAACAAAGGGTATCCCCGGAAGGTTGCACACCCACGCAAATGAATCTTTTCCTCTGATAAGAATTACATTTAAATTTGAACAAAAGAATGACTTCTAGAGTACGTGGAATGACTTCTAGAGTACGTGGAATGACTTCTAGAGTACCTGGATAAGTATATTTAATTTTGATCAAAGGGGGGCGGGCGAAAGTGGGAACACCCCCACAACTGAATGTTTCCCCTTTGATATGAATTAAATTTAAATTTAAACAAAGAAATGACTTCTAGAGTACCTGGATAAGTATATTTCATTTTGTTCAAAGGGCATCCCCGGAGGGGGGAGGGGGGTTGCACAGCCCCACAACTGAATGTTTCCCCTTTGATATGAATTAAATTTAAATTTGAACAATGGAATAACTCCTAGAGTACTTGGATAAGTATATTTAATTTTAAATCAACCAAGGAAAAAAACGTGACAGGCTAATCCCACTGAAAAATGTTTTTTTTTGATTTGATTTAAATTAAATTTAAATTTGAATAAGAGAATGACTCCTATCCAAAATATAGAAGGAGAAAGCCAGAAGATGGAGGTCACATCGGCAATATCATTGAAATGCATCATTTTTCGCCTCAAATTATTACAATAATTTAAAATCAATCTTTTTCTTACAAAAAATGCGTGACACCCAGCAAGGCGCGGTTAATTCGGCTAGTTTAATTATAATGGATAATGGCTTGGAATTGGAACTTGGCACTTCGATTTCCAATTCCAGTCAGGTTCATTATATTCACTTATGTACAAATTCTTTTGAGAAAAATATGATTCCACTACTTCTCTCCCCCCTCTAGCTATGGCATAATTAGAAAGACTTGTATCCGTAAATTATTGTTAACTTCAAAAAAACATCAATCCAGGTCAGAATCTATATGCATGACCACTTGGGAATACTAGTTACTGAAAGCCTGGGTGTGCGGTGGTGTAATGTATAATGACTCAGAATTGTTAATCGGAGAGCCGAGTTCTAATACTCGGTGGCTCCGTTATATTCACTTACATTCAAATCCCTTTCGGAAAATGTTATATAGGAACAAAAGAGTCACTGCCAACTCTTGAGTTTGAACATAGATCGCCAGTGAGCAAACACAGGCGACCTCATTATTGAACTCAGTAGACCAAGTGGCCATAGAGGAAACGCATAAGTAGGAAGTCACGTGAGGTCTAAATGATCGTTATTTCTATTCTATCCTCCATTACTATTCGGATCGCTATTTCTTGTCTATCCTCTATTACTACACGGAGCGCTATTCTCTACTCTATTCACTATACTATTCCTCTATTCAGATCACAATACGCATTACTATCCGAGCGAGGATTATCGAGCAATTACTATTAGTGCGAGTGATATTCGAAGGCGTCTGACACCAGTATTGTTCAATGGCGTTACTATAGTTGTATGTGCGATTACAAAGTCTCTACTACAATGAGCATTTCGATAGTGATAACGAGTATTCGTTGACATTACAAATGCGTCAACAAGTGTGTGTTTGAGTCACAAAAGTGACGACAAGGATTCGCAAGGATTCACAAAAATTCCTTGTACTTACACGAATATTCGTTCAGCAGAGTACAGAAAAATGGAAGCACTAAAAGCTATCATGGTCCAAATGTTGGTGCTACAGAAACAACAACAAGAACAACAGTTGCAGCAACAAAAACGACAGCACGAACAGCAATTACAATTGCAACTACAACAACAAAATATTTTTGAGTTGTTTACCAAAACGATAGAAGGAAAAACTTTAGATTCATTCACTCCAGATGCCGTTGCTAATTCAATCAGCGAATAACTTTTTCAGCTTATTATTAAAGATATGAAGGGATCTTCAAAAAAGGGATTGTTCGCACTGGAATGATGAAACGAAAGTTTGTTTATTATTAAGGAAATTATCTCCTGCGGAATATGAAAAATATATAAATTAAATTTTGCCCAAAAAAAAAAAAGAGAGATAAATTTTGATGAAACTGTTGTAATACTATCAAAAATTTTTGGCGATAGGAGATTCTTATTTAATACACAATGGCAATGTCATAACTTCGACGACGAAGATTTTGTCACTTATGTAGGAGTCGTGAATCGATTTATATGACATATTCGACAGGGTTTAACTTCTAATAAGGACGCGGAGATAAGCTCCAGAATACTTGCTAAATTAGAAATGGATTCCATATTAACTCTCCAGAAAATAGCGGATGAATGTCAATGTACTGTGAATTTGAAAAACGATGCTGCAACGATGGAGGAAAAAGACAATTTACAAGTACATAGTGTCCGGCCATCTAAGAGAAAGAACTACAAACGTTTTTCAACTCCCAACAGAACAGGAAAAAAGGCTATAAATCTGTCTCACTACCTAATAATTGCCATCGTTGTGGAGGTAAGTATTTTAAAAGTGATTATTTCTTCAAGAACAAAAAAATGTTACAAATGTGAGAGATTAGGACACAAATGTACGTGTTGCAGATACAAACAAATGGAGAAAAAAGAAAATGTATGTGAACACGATAAAGACATGTAGTAACAAGAAGAAGCCTAAAAAGGAAATTAACAAGACATATCAGAAGAAGAAATTTGTTTTGGGGCAAATTAACAATGTAAAGATAAAATTCGAACTAGTTACAGGATCTGATATCACAAATGAACAAACATTTTTAAATGGGTAAACTCAGTTTATTGACGTCAGATAAAGTTTCGCATGGAATCTCAGAGATTGAATTTGTGGACTGATTTCAGCTGTAACGTTTCCTTTGTGAGAAAAACCAATAAAGCGGTGGTGTTTGTATTAAAGAATACAACTAATTTGTTTGGAACAGACTGGATTGCATTATTTGATCTTTGGGACCTTCCAATTAACACATTTTTCCAACCAAATCAATGTCGTTATGACCAGTACTAATACGGCAACAGATTAATTAAAAAAATTAACTGAAAAAGAGTTTTCCAGGAGTTTTCTCAGAAGGTCTAGGGACATGCACGAGAGCAAAAGCGACATTTTTGTTCTTGACTCTATCGTTTCAGATAACGATTCTCAAATCATGTCTAGTGAATTTAATTTTTTTTGAATCATTAGCAATGCAACATATTACAACTTCCCCTTATCACCTAAGATCAAACGGACAAGCGGAATGATTTGCCGATACTTTTAAAAGGGCACCAGAAAGTCGGTGGAAGAGGAGTCAGATGAAGAAATGTTACAACAATTTCTGAGTGTTTACAGAATAACACCAACTGCAATGTCGCCTGCAGAATTGATGTTCGCCAGGAAGATTAAGTCCGTATTTAACAAATTACTACCAGAACGGAAGACGAGAACAGCAAGGAATCAAAATAATATAAATAAATATTTAATACCCGGTGATAAAGTGTACCAACATAGAAAAGAATTCTGGGAAAAGATGGCGTTATAAAAAAGAAAAAAACGGATTGGGAAAATGGCATACATGGTACAGGGACAAAGGTGGGAACATAAGCAACATTTAGTAAGTCCCCAAAAAGAGGTACCTATGAAAATGTATGGCATGTTTGACGTACCCACGCCACCAGAAATTAGTGAACCAAGGAGGTACAGTAAAAGAAAAAGAACACCAACGGAACATTTGAATATTGAACCGAAGCTGAAGAAATATAGGTCCAGAGAAAGTCATCTCAAAGGGGAGGTGTTATATAGGAATAAAGTGACGCTGCCGACACTTGAGTTTGAACATAGATCGTCAGTCAGCAAACACAGGCGACCTCTTTTTTGAACTAAGTAGACCACGTGACCATAGAATAAATGCATAATTAGGGAGTCGAGTGATATCTAATTGAACGCTATTTCACGCCTATCCTCTATTACTATTCGGATCGCTATTTCTAGTCTATCCTCTATTACTATATGGATCGCTATTCTCTACTCTATTGACTATACTATTTCACTATTCGGATCACTATACGGATTACTATTCGAGCAAGTATTATCGAGCAAGTACTATTAGTGCGAGTGTTATTCGATGGCGTCTGACACCAGTATTGTTCAAGAGCGTTACTATAGTTGTATCTGCGATTACAAAGTCTCTACTAGAACGAGAATTTCAAAAGTGACAACGAGTATTCGTTGACATTACAAAAGCGTCAACGACTGTTCATTGCCATCACAAAAGAAAGGTATCAACCCGCATATTCTCTCCCAGCTATGGGTTAAATGGTAATATCCCTATCACTGAATCATTACTATCCAATCGCCGCCCCCATTCTTATAATGTAAAGGTATATTCTGGCTTTAAATAACCTGCAAAGGTTTGGTAAGCCGTAGAAAAACGAATCAATCAATAATTTGTCTTATTTAAACATTCCATCACACAGGTTACCATGCTTGGTGGTGATCAAATACCAACATGTGAGTGTACAACAATTCGTGTGAATATATCAATCACAGAATGCAAATGGTATTAAAAGAGACTTTGGAATACTAAAAGACATATTTCATAACTAATTATTAAAAATGTTCAATACGATGTTAGTGAACAAATTCTGTAAAAAAAAAAAAAAAAGAAAAAGTAAAATATTTTAAAAAAAGCTGAAAAATCCCCCCAGAAACCCTGAAAATTCCCACCCCTGAAACCCTGAAAAATCCCACCCCTGAAACTCTGATAATTCCCACCCCTGAAACCCTGAAAATTCCCATCCTTGAAACCCTGAAAAATTCCCACCCCTGAAATCCAGAAAAATCCCACCCCTGAAACTCTGATAATTCCCACCCCTGAAAACCTGAGAATTCACACCCCTGAAAATTCCCACACCTGAAACCCTGAAAATTCCCATGCCTGAAACCTTGAAAAATCCCACACCTGAAACTCTGATAATTCCCAACCCTGAAAATTCCCACGCCTGTAACTCTGAAAATTTTTACGCCTGAAACCCTGAAAACTCCCACACCTGAAACCCTGAAAAATCCCACCCCTGAAACTCTGATAATTCCAACCCCTGAAACTCTGAGAATTCTCACCCCCTGAAAATTCCCACGCTTGAAACCCTGAAAATTCCCATGCCTGAAACCTTGAAAAATGCCACACCTGAAACTCTGATAATTCCCACCCCTGAAACTCTGATAATTCTCACCCCTGAAAATTCCCACGCTTGAAAGCCTGAAAATTCCCACCCCTGAAATCCTGAAAAATCCCACGACTGAAACCCTGAAAATTCCACCCTTGAAACTCTGATAATTCTCACCCCTGAAACCCTGAAAATTCCCACCCCTGAAAATCTGATAATTCCCACCCCTGAGACCCTGAAAATTCTCACCCCTGAAACCCTGAAAATTCTCACCCCTGAAACCCTGAAAATTCCCATGACTGAAACCTTAAAAATTCCCACCCCTGAAACCCTTGTTTAGAACTCTTAGTCTACGAGGTCTGGATAAACAAAAGTAAATTTTGAATTAAAAAAAAAGAATACTTTCTTGGTTAAATTTAATATTAAAGTACTATGTACAAGTGCCGGCATTCTATAACAACTGAATGAACATTAATCAAATTTGAATAAAATTCTCAAGCATTTGATATTTCAGGATTTTGAACTAAGGCCGGTCACAATTACTAGTTGTCAACGGCTTTTGGGTAAACATTAACCAACCATATAATCTCAACTATAACCCTTTTGTCTTTACATTTAATTTTACCGTGCAATCAATTAAATTTCGTTAAAAGTACTGATAATCCATGACAATTTACGCAAGGATTGCTATGGAGATCGCATATAAGACCTAGGATATATTTTAGTTCCATATTTTGGGAAAGAAACGCAGGCCCATATTGTAATTTGTGTTAGATTAAAAAAATAATGTCCAACTTTAGAAGAAACCTTTTGTGTTCTAAGAGATTATTCTAATATTTGCACAAAAATATATTACATATTTCTAATGATTAAAGAGTCTGCTTTGTTAATTTGATATCACTCTCTTTCAGAATTCAACGTAAAACATTATATATCCTCCATCTTGAACATGGAAAAAAAGAAGAGATTCATTTATTTTTTCTGCCTGAGTTCAAGTTTGGTCATAAAGCTTCTCAAACTGCTGTCAACATTAACAGAGCATTGGGTGGGGGATGCACAAGTAATCGGAATATAGGGCGCTAGTTTCTGAAGTTCCGCAGAGGGGATATGAGTCTTGACGATCAAGGTGGTAGAGGACGTTCATCTGCAATTGACAATCAACATCTGAAAACACTAGTTGAACGAAATCAACGTCAAAGCACAAAAGAAATGTTTCAGATCATCGGATCTCAGTAAAATTTGCAAGGAGAAGAAACTTGATAAATGGGTTCCGTGTGAATTCAGGGTAGAGTTCTTGATCAAAAAGTGATTTTTCATGAGAATTGGATCATTTATGAAAAACACTTTCCAAAACCGAAATTCCATCATCAGAAAATTAAGGCGATTGTCTGCTGGTCGGCCATTCGCGTTATCCATTACAGCTTTCTGGAATCTGACCAGAAGCGTCACTACCGAAGTTTACTGTCAGCAACTGGGCGAAATGCACATTCGGTTATACAAAATATAACCAGTACTGGTTAATCGACGAAGATCGATTCTGCTTCATGAAAATGTCCGTTCACATGTTGCCAGGAAGACACTGCAGAAGGTCACCGATTCGAGATACGAAATTTTGGCACATCCACCCTTTTTCCTCTGATCTCTCGCTTTGATAATTTTTAAGCCCCAAAACATTCCATTGCAAATAAACTTCTTTTGATGATTTCTTGGCGTCCAAGCCGTTACTTTTATAATAAAGCCATGAGTAACCTCGTAAGTCGATGGGGGAAATGTATGGATGCCCGGAGTTCCTATTTTGACTAATTTAAACACTGTTTAAATACGTTAACTCAGGAATAAATGTTGATTCTAAAATCGGACATTATTTTCCGAACAACCTAATATAATATCATTCAACATGATACTTCTTGTTGAAACATTTTATACGAGAATTGTACGTGCTGCAGGCGTTCACTATGATCGATTTACCATGTCTTAAGACGTTGTTTTCAGCCCGTTTTTTTCCCTCAGCCTTTTCCAAGTCTGCGAGTGCACCAAGTGCCAATTCTTCAACTCCTTCCATTTTTGTCTTAATCCCTCCAACCACAAAAGCGCAATTCACTTCCTTCCCCGGGCGATTCGATTGGCTCCTGTTCAGAGCATATATTCTACTTTTCTTTCATTGGTTTCCAGTAGGTCACGTTTTTAGTTTTGTTTTTGCTTTTTCTCTCTATACTCCACCAATCAATGGACGACAGAGCGTGTATGAGAATACTTGTGAATGCTTGCATTTTATTGAAGAGGGGGTCATTACGTGATGCTATACATGTGTGAGTGTGTGCGTTTCTCTTCGAGAACATGTCCATGGCTAACTTTGCTTGACGTGTGTGTGGCGTCCCCGGAAACTGGAAATTTAAGCCTGTGCACGCAACCAGATCAATAAAACTATCCGTTGAAATGTTGGCTCTGGGAACAGTCTAATTAAAATGGAAGAAATAAAATACTACTATATCCATAATGGTCAGGGGTTGCTGTGTTTCGGTATTAGTTAAATATCAAGAAAATATATATATATATATATATATATATATATATATATATATATATATATATATATATATATATATTGTTTAGCCTGAAAAACAGACTGTCGCCTCTGGGTGTTAAATTCAATGTCCGCTCTTATATATGTATGTAGGTATGCATATATTCTGAAATGAACCTGCCTATGTATATAGGTTTATGTAAGATCTAAGATTGTCCCTCTACATTCATATAGGCCACATCGTTGTCAGGTCATAGCTAAGGAACATTTGATACTGCATAGTAAGTTCAATCTCTACTGGGGACCTGTGTTTCTGATCGTGACCAGATAATCTTAACTTGGAAAGTACAGTTCTGCGGTCGCATAGAGAAGTTGCATTTTTTCATAGACTTTCTTTCACTTTTCATATATTTTTCTTTATTTTTCTTTGTTTATTTTCTTCTGCTCAGTCACATTGTTTCATTCTTTCTTTGACATACCTTCCTGAATTTCCTTGTTTTTTTCTTTGTCTTTTACACTTCTTTCTGCTCCTTTCTTTCTTTCTTTCTTTCTTTCTTTCTTTCTTTCTTTCTTTCTTTCTTTCTTTCTACTTCTTCCCGCACTTTTCTTTCTTTCTTTCTTTCTTTCTTTCTTTCTTTCTTTCTTCTTCTTCCCGCACTTTTCTTTCTTTCTTTCTTTCTTTCTTTCTTTCTTTCTTTCTTTCTTTCTTTCTTTCTTTCTTTCTTTCTTTCTTCCCGCACTTTTCTTTCTTTCTTTCTTTCTTTCTTTCTTTCTTTCTTTCTTTCTTTCTTTCTTTCTTTCTTTCTTCTACTCAGTCATTTTGTTTGTTTCATTCTTTCTTTGACATGCCTTCCTGAACTTCTTTGTTTCTGTCTTTGACCTTTACACTTTCTTTCTTTCTTTTTTCTTTTTTTCTTTCTTTCTTTCTTTCTTTCTTTCTTTCTTTCTTTCTTTCTTTGCTCTTTACACTTATTCTTGGTCCTCTCTTTTTTTCTTCTTTCCTTCTCCCTTTTCCCTCTTAATCTTTCTATATTTCCTTTGAATTTCTCCGATAAACTTCAACCTCCCTGTCACTTGTTCTCATTTCAACGGGTTTCAAATTGATTCTCACATTTCCTTTATTACTCTATAAGATCAACGACTTTTGGGGGCTCAGATGCAAGTAGAAATAATCAGCTAATTATGACGCGTACGTAAAATATTTTCGAAGCTGATAAAATCAATTTCGTTGAATTCGGACCAGGAGAAAAACATCAAGGACCAAACATTTAAAATAAACAAAAAAAAAAAAAAAATCGAAAATAAAAAAAAATCAAAAAAAAAAAAATCGAAAATAAACTTGTCGGGGATCATTCTGTATGAGTTTCTAACTGTTCATTCCTTGTGTCAGGTTAAGGTAAACCTAGAAAATATTAATAATTTTAAATGGTTCTTAAGTTTGTTTTGTTTTGTTTTACGGCATATCAAACCTCAATGGGTTATTTAATGCCGACAAAATTTCCATTGCTGGCAATATTTTATCCAAACATCTATTTCTGGTAATAATTTTCCTTTGCTTTTAATATTTGCTTTTCAAAAATATATAGCTGATAATATTTTTTCCTTCAAAAAATCTATCTGGTAATAATTTTCCTTTGCTGTTATTATTTGCTTCTCAAAAATATATAGCTGGTAATATTTTTTCTTTTTCTTTTCTTTTTTAAAGAAAATGTATTGCTGGTAATATTAGTTTTTCAAAAATGTATTGCTGGTAATAATTTTTTTTTTACAAAGTATTTTTGGTATTAAAACCTATTCTTACACTTTCATAATGTTTTAACCCCAGTTTAGGGGTTAATTATTTGCCCATAGCTGGGACCCTAACAGGTGCTACCACCCCGGGTCAGCAATTAAGCGGTGGTTCCACGCTCTTCAGAACCTCCTAATCAGAGGCCTTGCTGTTGGATGTAGTTTAATTCTTACCCAGGACGCGGATGTAGTTTATCGTCATACCCAGGACGGAAACGGTTCTTATCAGTTTATGTTAATCAAACAATTAACGGAAAAAATATGATCGGTAAAAAGTGTTCAGACTTCGTGGCCGGCACTGTTTTAATTCACTTAGGCATTTTGAAAGGCATGAATCCATTTATCCCTCAATTATGGTTAAAGTGTAGATAATTCAATTTTATTTTTAAAATGATGCTCATCCTTGCAATGCCAAAGAGGTAGAGGGTTTCTGACTAAGAGGCACCGTTTATAAGGATATGTGGGGAAGATAACGGTTAACTCTAGACTTGAACAGGTTAAGATTGTAGTGATCGGGAAAGTATCATCATGGGAGTCGGTTCCTCAAAGCAGCGGTTCGTGGAAAGAAGCTGCTCCAGTGGAACTTAGATCTTGCCAATGGAATACGAAGGGAATCAGGGTGGTTCGCTATAATGGGCGTGGCATGGCGGGTCTCAGCCGTGATGGCTGGAACAGGTGGGACTAAGGAATGTAGTTCGTCGGAACACTTTGCATGGAAATCATCATCATCTTGCGGCCTCAGCCGAGATTGAACTCACTACACCTTTCCAGTATTCCTTATCTGTCATAGCTAATACTTTGATTGGTGTAGTTCATAATCTTGTCAAATAGCTGAATTCTTGATGATTCGCTAGGGCTATCAAGGGTGTTTTTATCGTGACACCAACACTACATGGATTGCCAACCAAGGCTCAGAGAGACTCCATTCACCCTCCACAGGTTTTGAATTCAGAGTTTTCCTTCTCCTAGACCAGTTGCTATCCAAGCTATAGAACCCAGTCTGTCTTGCTATTTACCCATAGCTGGAGGGAGAAGAGGATTCATACCTTTCCCAAGGGTATTAGCACGTAACTGAATGTAATGGATTCGAGTGGAATTCGAACTCGCCTCTCCGATTCCTCAATCCAAGCCGCTATCCATTACTCCACCGTGCATGGAAATAGTGACAGAGGAGCGAGAGGCTTTCAACGTTTCGACTGTGAGAAAAGGGATCGCAGAGTGGAAAACAATTCGTCACCCACAAGGATACTTTTGGGCTCTATCCAAACTGGAAAGTGAAGAGTAGGCAGCTCCGGTCCATATATGGAAGCAGTACTCCATTTTAAGTCTGATCTGTCCCTTTCAAAGATAGAGGATAGCAGGAGGAGTCGGCTACTTACAGCGGAGGTACAGAGAACCGATCATTTGGCCAGAATCTTTAGTGATGGGTCTTATTTACGAGTGCCACTTGGGTTCAGTTTAAGTCCCAATAGGCTCTCAAAGCACGAAGCGTTTTCAGTCCGATCCACGATGGTGGACTGAATATGACCAGCCAGTTTTTACCCATCTGTACTGTTAGGGCTAGATCAGAGGAGAGATCAGCTACCAAGCTCTGGTCGTCTAGAGTTTGGGAGTTTGCGCGTTAATCAGTACTACATTATCGTGCCGATTAACGTAGCATTTATCAGCTAATCAAATTGCATATCACCAAAGAGCATAACAGCAAAACACAAATCCTTACCAATAACACAAGCATAGTATATCACATAATCTATAAAAAAAAACGACTACAAATTCAAGAAGCATTAACCTTACAAACAAACAAGCCAACATTAATAAAATGTAATTAAATCTAACAGCAAACATACTAATTACGTTGCTATTGTTGGTGAAACTGTTCTCGTTTCTCGCTGACGAAAATGATGAATATTGTGTGGAAAAAAATCATGTTTTGTATATTGTACAATTTTGTATCTGTATATTTCAACATATGTTTTGAAAATGATATAATACTGCATAGAAAAATCGTGTTTTGTACAGGGTGAGGAAGAAAGGTTGCCGATTTTGACGTTTGATAAAAAACAAAAACATATCATAAGAGAAAAAAACAAACTTTGTTCTCCACCCCAGACTATGGTGAGGCATTAACTGAAACAGAAAATAAACGGCATTTAATATACTTCATCGTGATATGAAGTTTTTTCTTTCATCTTCATATGTTAATGAGTATGTCCTAAACCTCATAAATACGTTGGGCACTATTGTAAGTTGGGATAATATGCTAAATATGCTAAGTAGTTCACCACAAGCAGTGGTTTACCTACTTAATACCGCTGGCGAGTATTGTATTTTATTGATGTTATAAACATTACCATTTCATTTCCAACCTTATTTTGATTATTCTTCATTCAGTAACCCTTTCTAGGTTCCAATAGATAGATAGATAGATAGATAGATAGATAGTGTTATATACCGTACCTATGAACAGATTAAAGATTACCATTTCATTTTCATCCCCATTTTAGTTATTCCTCATTCAGTAACCATTTCTAGGTTCCAATAGATAGATAGATAGATAGATAGATAGTGTTATATACCGTACCTATGAACAGATTAAAGATTACCATTTCATTTTCATCCCCATTTTAGTTATTCCTCATTCAGTAACCATTTCTAGGTTACAATAGATAGATAGATAGATAGATAGATAGATAGATAGTGTTATATACCGTACCTATGAACAGATTAAAGATTACCATTTCATTTTCATCCCCATTTTAGTTATTCCTCATTCAGTAACCATTTCTAGGTTACAATAGATAGATAGATAGATAGATAGTGTTATATACCGTACCTATGAACAGATTAAAGATTACCATTTCATTTTCATTCCCATTTTAGTTATTCCTCATTCAGTAACCATTTCTAGGTTACAATAGATAGATAGATAGATAGATAGATAGATAGATAGTGTTATATACCGTACCTATGAACAGATTAAAGATTACCATTTCATTTTCATCCCCATTTTATTTATTCCTCATTCAGTAACCCTTTCTAGGTTACAATAGATAGATAGATAGATAGATAGATAGATAGATAGATAGATAGATAGATAGTGTTATATACCGTACCTATGAACAGATTAAAGATTACCATTTCATTTTCACCCCCCATTTTGGTTATTCCTCATTCAGTAACCTTTCTCAGGTTACAACAAATACATATTTATTGCGACAATTCAACATTCATATCAAAGTTGAAATCTGATCATCAATTCATTCATTCAAGTATTGCATCAAATGCATATCAAAAGGTCAGGTCAAGATGTTTTGCAACAAAAAATATCGCTGAAAATCTTTTCCCCATTGATTTAAATTAGATTTAAATTTAGACCAAGGAATGACTCTTATACAAAATATAGGAGGAGAAATCCAGAAGATGGAGGTCACATCGGCAAGATCAAGATGAGACAATATGGATGTCAAGTTGAGCAAAAAATTACCAAACACCTTACAATACATCTTTGTTGCGACAATTCAACTGTCATATCAATGTTGAAATCTACTCATTGAAGTATTGCATGAAATGCATATCAAGGGGGTCAGATCAAAATGTTTTTTACAGAAAAATATCACTGAAAATCTTTTCCCCATTGATTTAAATTAAATTTAAATTTGGATAAAGGAATGACTCCTATCCAAAATATAGAAGGAGAAATCCAGAAGATGGAGATTTTTTATTCACCTTTGAAATCGAGGCATTCTGCTCCATCCTGTATATAAAAACATGCTCTCTACAACGGTGTTTATTTATACAATTAGGAGGTATTACTATCGATGCGTCATTATTTTTATATGGATAACAAGCAATATAGTGTTATCCCTGGCAGTAAGGTTTTACATTGTTGGCGAAAGAGAATAGTTATTTATAGTGATAGTTTTGAAAAAATAACATTTTGTAGGCGAAAACGTGCTCTCTTTGTCGCTGCTATTGTCGCTTCCGTGGGAACTAAATAAGGGACATAACTTGAAACTCGTGGCTCCGGGCTAAGTAACAATCTAACTCTCTGCTTTCGGGCGGAGAGGAA